CTACTGAGAAGGCCCTCTGCCTGGTTCCCTGCAACCTCATTTCTCGCAGGGAGGGAACCGCCAGAAGGTCCTCAGAGCTGGACCTCAGTGTCCGGGCAGAACGATGGGGGTGGAGACGCTCCTTCAGGTATACTGGGCCGAGGCCGTTTAGGGCTTTAAAGGTCAGCACCAACACTTTGAATTGTGCTCGGAAACGTACTGGGAGCCAATGTATGTTTTAATGTATTTTAAATCTTTTGTTGGAAGCTGCCCAGAGTCGCTGGGGAAACCCAGCCAGATGGGCAGGGTACGTATGTATATAATCTAATCTAATATGATATGATATATGATATATGATATATGATATATGATATATGATATATGATATATGATATATGATATATGATATGATATGTTATGATATAATATAATATACAGTCATACTTCATGTTACGTTTGCTTCCTCCTACATTCTTTCAGGTTATGTCCCGCGGCGACCCGGAAGTACCAGAAAGGGTTACTTCCAGGTTTTGCCGCTTGCGCATGCGCAGAAGCGCCAAACCGCACTGTGCACCTGCGCAGATATGGCGCTCCAGGTTGCGCTCTTTTCATGTTGCGAACGGGCCTCCGGAACGGATCCCGTTCGCAACCAGAGGTACCACTGTAATATCATATCATATATTTTTAATTGTTGTTGTTGTTGTTGTTGTTGTTGTTATTATTATTATGGGCTTCAGATAGCACGGCAAGGAGAAGGTCCTCTCTCTGCTCAACAACTTGGAGAGCTGCCACTGGTCAGAGCAGACAGAAAATGGCTGGATGGCTTGCAATGAGAGCCTCTTCAAATGCTTGAGCAATTACTTGTTTGCACCGATGAACCATCACAGTTCTAGCCTGCCTAGACACACTGCCTCAGAACTGTGTGCTGTCTATTGATTCAGTTGATATTTACAGGTATGAGTCACCGCATTAGCAAATGGGAAGAAATCAAAGCGATGAACATGCAACCTTAAAAAAGGATGGGAATGCATAAGTAAATTGCAGGTTTTGGCCACAGGCTTCCAGTAGCATCTGGGCGGCACAGGGTTCCTCCTGCCTCTGGGATATGAAGGAGCAACTAGACCTCTTGCCCTGGTGTTTCCTAGGGTGCTCTGACATTGGTGCAATTCACAGGTGCAAAGTACTGTATTTTTCCATGTATAACACACCCCCATGTATAAGACTACACTGGTACCTCGGGTTACATCGCTTCAGGTTAAATACGCTTCAGGTTACAGACTCTGCTAACCCAGTGCTTCAGGTTAAGAACTTTGCTTCAGGATGAGAACAGAAATCGTGCTCCGGCAGCACGGCAGCAGCGGGAGGCCCCATTAGCTAAAGTGGTGCTTCAGGTTAAGAACAGTTTCAGGTTAAGAACGGACCTCCGGAATGAATTAAGTACTTAAACCCGAGGTACCACTGTATTTTGGGGACTTCAATTTAAGAAAATGGGGGGAGATTGCCCAGAGTTGCTGAGTTTTTTGAGGTGGGGCAGAGTTGTTGAGCTTTTTTCAGTGGGGATTGTCGCAGGTGTCGCAAAAGCCACTTATTGTCTGCCGATTGCCCAACCAATAACCACAGCGACAGCCAATCAACACCAGCACTTGACGCATCCACCAATAACACGCCCAATAGCGGCTGAGCATTTCCAGCTTGCAGCAGGAACCAATCCCACGTCCCCCCAGCCACTATCCGTGTATAAGACAACCCCCAATTTTAAACATGATTTTTAAAATAAAAAACGTCTTATACACTGAAAAGTACGGTATTTCAGCACTGCGGATCCTACATTCAGCAGAGGGTTCTGATCCAGCACAGGTTTTCCTATGTTGTTATAAAGCGCTAGGTGCACTGACAGCAATATGACATCGCTACGTCTAATAAAGAGGAGCCTGGATTCTCTTTTTAAAATCAAATATTCATTAGAAGAGGCAATTGTTTGCTAGTCAGCGTTGTGCAAAAATTAAGCAAGGAGGCAAGTTTTGCAAAGAGGCGACTTGTAGGCAGTAGGCAGTGTTAGAAACTCAGATGTATAATCTAATCACCAAACGGTGATTGGACCTAGGCTACGGTTGCCGCAATGAAATGTCTCGGCGCCTTTTTTCAGTGGAATTTATTATTATTCATTTCTATGTCGCTTTCCGTTGCAAAGAACAAACCTCAAAGCAGCTGACAACGTATTAAAACCTCAAATAACACAATTCAGAATAAATCAAACTCAAGCTGCAGGGAAAATACTTCTGACATTTTGCTTTCCCCAATTGCCCACCTGGCGATCCTCCACACGATTGCAAGTGGACCTGTGCCAGTCGCAAAACGTGCCGGGCGTATTTCTGACACTGGCTGTAGGAGTAGGGTTGCCACGCTGAGAGCATCGCAGACCCTGAGATTTCAGAGCCCCAACCTGAGACCAAGAGGTGGACCTTGGAGACGGAGGTTAATTGGGAGAGGGGAACAGAAGTGCGCAGACCCCACCCCACCCCCACTATAACTAATCCAGAATGTGGCAGCTAGACTGCTGACTGGGGGCGGCCGCCGAGACCATATAACACTGGCTCCCAGTACGTTTACGAGCACAATTCAAAGTGTTGGTGCTGGCCTTTAAAGCCCTAAACGGCCTCGGCCCAGTATACCTGAAGGAGCGTCTCCACCCCCCATCGTTCTGCCCGGATGCTGAGGTCCAGCGCCGAGGGCCTTCTGGCGGTTCCCTCGCTGCGAGAAGCGAGGTTACAGAGAACCAGGCAGAGGGCCTTCTCGGTGGTGGCGCCCGCCCTTTGGAACGCCCTCCCATCAGATGTCAAGGAAATAAACAACGCTCTGACTTTTAGAAGACATCTGGAGGCAGCCCTGTTTAGGGAAGCTTTTAATATCTGATGAATTATTGTATTTTAATATTTTGCTGGAAGCCGCCCAGAGTGGTTGGGGAAACCCATCCAGGTGGGCGGGTTATAAATAATAAAATTATTATCATCATCATCATCATCATTATTATTATCATCAGAATCATTATTATCATCATCTGCATCACGAATGTCCAATAATAGCACAGTCACTTCTAGAACGTTATGACGACGAAGAACTCTGTGTGACTCAGGAAGCTGACCCGGCGAGAGCTGATTCTGCCGCAGCGCAAAAAAAAGAACCTTGCCAACTGTGCTCCTCGCCCTCCGCCCCACCCCACGTCCTGAGGACTAGGGCCTTAGTTATGGACAGGAACAGGCATTGTTTCAGGCTTCCACGCCCCGGCCAGGATGGTGGGATGAGCGAAAGTCTAAAATTAGCCGCAGCCCCGCCAGGCCAGGCCGGCCTCCCTCCCTCCTTGCCTGCCTTCCGGCTCTCCCCACCGGCCACGGAAGGAAGGCGATCCTCTCTTCCTCTCGGGGCCCAGGACTTACCTTGAAGTCGTTCCCGCTGAGATCGACCCCCCGGATGAAGGGGAGCACCCCGGTGGCAGCCATGGCTTCTTTCCACGGGGGGCGGGAAGAGGAGGGAGAGCAGCAACAGTAGCGACGCCTTGCTAGTCTCTAACTCCCCAACTCAGCGGCTTCTGCTCTCCCTCGGTGACACAGCCCTAAACAGGGAGGGGGAACAATTTTTTTTAGAAAGAGGGGAGGGGCAGTGGCAAAAAAAGGAGGGGCGTGGCCTTTTGCGAGCTCGGGGAGGGCCACGCCCCTTTTAACTCCTTCGCTGCCGGGCGCGCATTAGGGAGGGGGTGCATTCGAGGGGGGGGGATCCTCGTACGGCTACGCTTGGGTCACATCCGCGCCATGCATTTGACGCACTCTCGTTCCACTTCAAGCAGCCCCGGCTCCTCTCGCAGCACCCCCCCCTGCAACTCTCCATATAACCCTGGGAATTGTAGTTTGCGGGTGCTGATCTACAGTTCCCAGCATCCTTAACACGCTGCAGGATTCCCCACGATGTCAAAGTGTTTCGAGAGCTCTTGAAAAGTATGTTGTTGTTTTTAAACACTCTACTATAGCTGGCTACAGTTAGCCGCAATCCCGTTCTGGAAACCCTCAAGGGCGCTGTCACGGTTTAAGCGTCCGGAGGGTTTTCCTGAAAGTCTGAAAAATAAAGTCAGAGCGGGAGAAAACCTCTACGCTCCTCTACATGTCGGTAAACACGTCAGGTGAGTACGGACTAGGACAAAGGAGGACGTATAAATGGCTCATATTCCACCACCGCCACCCACCACAAACCACTTTTTTTTACTCCGCATTAATTAATTCGAAGTAACAAGCACATGACTTCCAGCTCCAGCTTTGCTGGAGCGTGCCTAGGTGTTTGCAAGGACTCTGGACCCGGGTCCATCATGACTCGCCCACCGTTATACCCAATTGCAATTCAATGTACAGTGGTACCTCGGGTTACATACGCTTCAGGTTAGAGACTCCGCTAACCCAGAAATAGTGCTTCAGGTTAAGAACTTTGCTTCAGGATGAGAACAGAAATCGTGCTCCGGCGGCGCGGCAGCAGCGGGAGGCCCCATTAGCTAAAGTGGTGCTTCCGGTTAAGAACAGTTTCAGGTTATTAAGTACGCACCTCCGGAACGAATTAAGTACTTAACCCGAGGTACCACTGTATTCCTGTTGTGTTTTATGATTTTCCTAATACAGTATTGTAAGTGAGCCGGAACTGGTCTGTGACCGTAATAATAATAATAATAATAAATTCAAATCGACATCATGACACGGCGCCACGAATTTGCTTTTTTCCTTGTTTGTGGTACTTTGCACAACTGGCATCTCCAGGCAGGATGGAGGAGAGACGCCCCCTGCTGCGCACTCTTGAAAACCCGGGGAGCTGCTGCCAGTCCGTGTAGACAATACTGGGCCAGATGGATTGGTCTGACTTGGCTGAAAGCACTTTCCTATGCTGCTATGCGCACATTGGACAGATTGGAAGAGGCGGAAGGGAGAGAAAGGACGAAAGCGACGCTGTCTCTTTAAGGCGGAGGAGGAGGAGCCTCGCGGCACCTACGCAGCCTCAAAGAGGACAGGAAGCCGAAAAAGATACTCGGCGTTCTATGTCGGAACGTTGAGAGGCGAGCCGCGCGCTGCCATTGGTCGCTCGGCGGGGTGTTTGGCGTTCGGCTTCGGCCGACGTTCCATCGCTGGTGCTGAGCGTTTCCTGCGCGGTGGCGTCGGGGTGCTGGGTGCCCGCTGCTACAGCAGCAGCGACCTCTCCGCTCTGCCCGCTTCCCCGGGTCCGCTTCCAGGTGCAGGGACAGGTAAGTTGTAACTGAGCTACTAACCTCCACGGAGCAGCCTCGGTTCCAAAGGTGGAACCGCCGGAAGAAACGAAGGGATCTTATTTTTGTTACGTTTTAGGGGGAGGGGGGGAAATTTTGCTTCATTTTTAACCTCTAAGAGAGGCGGATATTCAGCTTTCAGGGGAGGTGGTGAACCGCCTTAGTTATTTAAATAATTCGGAGCCCCGTAGCAGCAGCACCGTGAACGCTTAATACGTTTCTTGTAGTAAGATCGGGAAACGACCCTTCCCCCCCCAAAAAAAATGGATTTAGAGGACCTTTAGATTCCCTCTCTGAATGGTTAGAAGAGAAGGCCTTAATTAAGGAGAAAGGGATGAATCAGTACAGTAATGGAGTTGGAAGGGACCCGAGGGTCATCTAGTCCAACCCCGCAGCACGATCCCGTGGCACTTTTTAAATAGTGAAGCAAATACAGCATCCCTCAAGATGCCACAGGACTGTGTCTCTGTAGACCAGGGATAGGAAGCTGTGGTCCTCTGGACGTTTATGAAGTGCCAACTCCCATCAGACGGAGGCAGCGTAGCCCAGTGGTCAGGGATGGCGGCAGCTGGAGTCCAGAAGCTCACAAGTTTCCAGTCTCTCTTTAGACCAACACAAGCAGCCCTTTGTAGTTTGGTTGTGGGTTGATTACGACCACCTTGCCTTGGCCGCTGCTGTTGATCCACAAGCAGGTTGATCTGTGGTAAGCTTGTGCACACCATACGTTTAAAGCACCTGGGAATCCTGGGAACTGTAGTTTGTTAGTGATGCTGGGGTTGCAGCTTAGTGAGGGGCAAACTACAACTCAGGGGATGTGGTTTAAGCGTTTGGTGTGCGGTTTCTCTCCAGGGGCTGGTTGTCCGGTTGGCATCTGTCTGTCTCGGGAGACGATGGAGAAGTGCGCCATCGTGGGTGAAGGCAAACCAGTGGAGAGCTGTGGCTGTAGAGACTGATGCAGTAGAGACATGTTTTCTTGCAGCTGGGGAAGATGAAGGCATCTTGCTCTATTGCTGGTTGGGTGGGGCTATTTCTGCATTTCTACCATAGGTGCTGGGGGGTTGGGGGGCAGGAGGAGATGGATGCCTGAGGCCTGGATCTCTTGCATCAGGCCCCAGATTTTGAGACCTTTATTTAAAATTTTGTTACTGGATGTGCCATTGAGTCCACACCCACCCGCCATCTTAATATGATACTCAGAGGCATCTATTCATCTAAGTGAGCATATTTTTTTCGTTTTTATTTTGTAAGTTTTGTAAATTTTTAAATATTTTTAATTTTTTCTTTATATAATGTATATTATATTATATTATATTATATTATATTATATTATATTATATTTTAGTGTGCGCGTGTGTATTGTAGGTATTCTATACCTTATCTTCTCTCCTCTGTTTTCAGATAAAATTTACTGCTGTTCTTACTCTAAAGCTACTTGCGTTTTAACGTATTTGCAGTAAGCTTTTAAATAGTTCACAAACATTTTCCAGTCCTCCTTAAACTCCGCCTATTTCGCTGTTTGTTTGTTAAGAAAAACCTTGAAGCCGTTTGCAAAGAGAATAATATGATAAAATTATCGGTAAAAACACACAAAGACAACTCTTTAAATAATCATTGCTAAACTAAAAGCGGAATTAAGACATGCACCAACATTTTAAACACTGCTAATGTTTTTAGCAAGTGCCAGAGTACGGCGAAGGCTTGATGTCAATAGGCAGGGAGTCCTACTGGAACCCTGTTAACCAGGCTTCTGCTCTCCAGATGTTTTTGGCCTACAACTCCCATGATCCCTGGCTAGCAGGACCAGTGGTCAGGGATGATGGGAATGGTAGTCTCAAAACATCTGGAGGGCTGAGGTTTGAGGAAGCCTGCTGTTAACAGATTGCAGTAAGGCGATATTGCAGGTAAACTGGTATCAAGTTGTTAAGGACTTTATATATGAATAGTAATACCCTGAACTTTGCTCTGCAGCAAATTGGCAACGAGTGCAGATCTCTGAGCACAGGTGTTGCGTGCCGACAGGGGCCCACTTCTGTCAGCAATCGTGCTGCAGCATTCTGTACTCACTGCAGCTTCTGGATCATATGCAAGTGTGTGTAGATCACGTCTTGGCAGCACCCACTTTGCAGGCAAACATTCCTGGGTTGAGTCCTCATGCAGCCTAGGCGTAGGGTTGCCATATTTCAAAAAGTGAGAATCCAGACACAAAAGTTCTTGAGCTGTTTGGGGTGTTTTTTTGGCGGGGGGGGGGGGAGACACAAGATTGTTGAGCTTCTTTTTGCAAAATCTCAAACAGCTGACTTTTCCAGCTATTTTTAAGGGTATTCGTCAAAAAATCAACACTTGCGACATGGGTTGCCATTCGCCCAGGCTTTTCCAGACATTTTACCGATTTTCGGAAATTCCGCCCGGACGTTATTCACAACGGACGAATCCTGGATGTATGGCAGCCGTAGTCTAGGGAGAGGGAGTATAGTCTGAAGGCCAGATAGCTACAACCTTTCCAACTATGGTGGTACCTTGGTTCTCAAACGCCTTGGTACTCAAACAACTTGGAACCCAAACACTGCAAACCCGGAAGTGAGTTTTCTGGTTTGCGAACTTTTATCGGAAGCCGAACGTGCTCCGTTTTGAGTGTTACGCTTCCGTTTGGAGTGCCACACTTCCGTTTGGAGTGTTACGCTGAGATCTGTCTGTTTTGGCTATTTGTGTTTTTGTTTTTGAGGTGCTCTCTCTCTCTCTCTCTCTCTCTCTCTCTCTCTGTGTGTGTGTGTGTGTGACTGTGATTGGTTGATTATGTGACTGCAGTACATTGTTGCTTTCAATTTATGGATCAAAGGTCTCGTTAGATAGTAAAATTCGTGTTAAATTGCTGTTTTCGTGGTTGTATTTAAAAGTCTGGAACAGATTAATCCGTTTTACATGACTTTCTATGGGAAAGCGTGCCTTGATTTTGGAACACTTTGGTTTTGGAACGGACTTCTGGAACGGATTAAGTTTGAGAACCAAGGTATCACTGTATACCTCACTGTCTGGCCCTACGTGGAGTTGCTGAGGAACGAACCTGGGACCTTCTGCATTCAAAGCACCTGTGCTCGACTACTGATCCTAGCCACCCCCACCCCATGTGGTTTGGTGAAAAAGAAAAGGCACTCTGCACATGCTTAGAAATCCCTTCTTCTCATGGCAGCACAACTGCTGAAAAGGTTTGAGACAAATCTAGGAGGTTGAGCTCTGCCTCTGATCATATTCTGCCTGTGTGTCTGGGACTGGTTAGATGCGTTCCCTTGCAACCACTTTTGGACTCTGATGCCCAGAATAGAAAAGACTGTCGTGGGAGAAGGGAAACTGGCAGGAAGATATTGTTACACGCCTTCAAAATAGCAACCGGAAATCTGACTCCTCCTCTGTAGCCCTGGGGAATTATTATTATTATTATTATTATTATTATTATTATTATTATTCTCAAACCAGGCAATGAGTTGTCCTTGGATGTGTTTGTTTGGCAGTGTGGCTGAGTAAGTTTTCCCCCAGTGGATTTTCAGTAGCCTCATGTGTCAGCGGTGGCGAAATAAGGGCACTCCCCTGCTAATATTATATATACAGTGGTACCTTGGTTTACGAACTTAATCTGTTCTGGAAGCCTGTTCTTTAACCAAAGCATTCTTAAACCAAGGCGTGCTTTCCCATAGCAGCGGAGGACTCAATTTACAAATGGAACACACCCGACAGGAAGTGAACACACACACACACACTCTTCCCTTTTTTAAAAGATCCCAGTGTGTGTACAACATTAGGAGCACATTTTAAGGCGCATAATAATAAAAAAAACATTAAAAAGCATAAAAATTGACTATTATTATTATTATTTATTAGATTTATATACCATCCTTCATCAATGGTAAAAACACAAATGAATAGCTAAAGCAGAAGCAACAAAACAATACCCCCCTTTCACAAACACATTTAAAAGGCTGTAGAATATAATAAAGCTACCATAACAGCCCACTTTAACTATTTATTTAATGGCCAGAGGCCTGGTTATAGAGGAATGTTTTTCCCTGGCGCCTGAGAGTTAGGAGTTTCATTCTCTACCAACTGAGCTGTCCCAGCTGTTATTTTGAAGTCATTTGCTGCCCAAATTGCAGGTGGTTGTGAAGGCATCTAGCAAAATCAGCCTGTTGGGTGGTTAGCCATTCTGCCACACGAACATTTGGTACCAGATAACCTGGGACGTGGGTGGCACTGTGGGTTAAACTGGGACTTGCCGATCAGAAGGTTGGCGGTTCAAATCCCTGTGACAGGGTGAGCTCCCGTTGCTTGATCCCTGCTCCTGCCAACCTAGCAGTTCAAAAACACATCAAGGTGCAAGTAGATAAATAGGTACCGCTCCAGCGGGCGTTTCCGTGCGCTGCTCTGGTTCGCCAGAAGTGGCTTAGTCATGCTGGCCACATGACCTGGAAGCTGTATGCCGGCTCCCTCGGCAAGGGAAGAGCGCCGCAAACCCAGAGTTCGCTACGACTGGACCCAATGATCAGGGGTCCCTTTACCCTTTAACCTCCTCCAAACTCAACGGGAGCTGCTTGTAGGTCAATATGCCTGCAGTCAAGCTGTAAAAATGGTCCAGGAAAGTGTTTTTTTAAATATTATTAATTGTTAAACCAGTTTATAGACCGTTTCACAGCAGTAAAGCCCTAGAAACTGTGTAGGAGATGAAAGCAGAGTAGAACGCAATGACCCTCCAGTCTGAGTATGTTGTTTGCTTTTTGTTCCCATGGCAATGCTGTGGCTGTTAAGTCGTATGTTGGGAGTTGTGACTCATGATGAATGCCAGTCGAGTGTTTTTGGGCGAGGAACAGAGGAAGAAGTTGGCAATGTCAGAGCTAGCGAGCCACTGAGGTTTCGTAGGGTTCAGCAACACGACGCCCTGCAGCCAAACCTGCCCAACACCAGTACCTAAGAACGACTAGCAACCCCCTTTCTTAACAAGACAGCTCTTTCCCCCCCCCTTTATAATGTTTTTTACTGTAACTTTTCAACCTACGATGAAATAAATACAATACAAAAAAACAAAAACAAAACAACAATGTATTTTTAATCTGTTGGAAGCTGCCCAGAGTGGCTGGGGTACAAATAATAAATTATTATTATTATTATTATTATTAACAACAACAAAGAAAAGAAAGAGGAAATAAAATAAATTAAGAAAGCTCTCTCCCAAAGGTTGATCTTGTCTCACACAGAAAGAGGTTGACCCTCCCAGCTAGGGTTGCCATATTTTGGCAAAATTCCTTAGAAGTAGCTCAAAAACTTCAATTTCTTTTGAGATTTTGCAGAAAAAGCTCAACAATTTTGGCCAAAAAAACCCCAACAACTTTTTTGGGGGGAAAGGGTGCCAGCGGTCTTCCCGTGTTCTTTCCTACCCAGCTTTGGGGGCGGATGTGACGGGAGCAATATCGTAAAAGCCCATTTTTGTAAGGTCGCGAATTTAAGCTGCCCTTAAAATTTTCACGGTCAGAATTTGGAAAAAAAAGAAAGGTGTGGCGTATATTCGGGCCGATACGTTATGCGGTGCCTAGTTAGGAGTTTCAGTTCCGCAGGTTGAAGTGGGAAGCTTATTACCGAAACCTCTCAAACTTGATTTCTTTCCCTCCAACAAGGTTAACAATGGCGGACTACGGCCACAAGCAGGGGAAGAGGCGGAACGAGAGCAACCTGGGCAGCGTGGTGGACTTCCTGTTGGCCAATGCCAGGTTGGTCCTGGGCGTCAGCGGAGCGGCTGTGCTGGCGATCGCGACGCTTGCTGTGAAGAGGGTGAGAGTGCCTTGTTCTTCCTTTGCATAGCTGCTGCTAACATGCTTTAAATGTGTGATGAGGAATTACTGTTGGGTAGTCTTCCTTTTATATGAGCAACCATCTTTATGACGTTTTAGTTTTATTAAGGGGATCATAGTCTGTGTCTGGATCAGGGGTGTTGTTTGGGAGGAGGCGACTAGCTCTTGAGTCTCAGTAATATTTGGTCAAATTTTCAAAAATTTCACATGTACTCTCCAATACATCTTCTCTTTCTTATACCATAATAATAATGCAATAATCTCTAATTCCTTCTGCTGCTCACAGTTCAAATCCTGCTTGCAAATTCATACTGTAGGACAGTGGTACCTGTAGTTGCGTTCATCTCCGGTTACGTATCCTTCGGAATACGTAAGTGGCAAACCTAGAAGTATTTTTCCGGGTTTCGCCTTGTGCGCATGCACAGAAGCGCTAAACTTCAGCGCACGCATGTGCAGGAGTGGCACCTCCAGTTGCGAATTCCTTGGGATGTGGCCAGACCTCTGGAACGGATCCCATTCACAACCGGAGGTACCACTGTATTTATTTAATTCAGTGTTTCCCAACGTTTTTGGGCAAAGGCACACTTGTTTCATGAAAAAAATCTCGAGGCACACCACCATTACAGCCCCGTGACGTCAGCGCGCAGCGTCACGCCGGGAGGGACATGAATTGCTAGCAAATTACATAATCACCTCCTTGAGGGCTGGCTCATCTTCTCCGAAGGCAGAACCCCATTAATTAACAGCACAGACTCACACCATAGCCAAGACGAGGGGGGACAACCTCAGTCATGCACAGTCATGCACATGTGGGGGTTAAATGAGGACGATGATCGGGCAGAGAGCAGGGTTCAAATCACCCCACCTGGCCAGGACAATCCCTGGGTGCTCCCTTGGGCCACTCGCCTGACCCACCTCGCAGGGCTGTTGTTGCGAGGATAACACGGGGAGAACCACGCGCGCCCCCGGGAGCTCCTTGGAGGAGAAAGCGGGCGATGAATGCAATGCACGAAATATATGAGAGGCGACCAGGTTTTGCAGGTGAGGGGCCCCCGCCAGCCTCCGCTTCCAACACCCGGCGCAACGACGCCGAAGTTTCCCCCCGGGCTCGGCTCGGGGAGCAGCGCTGCTCCCCCCCGGCTCCCCTTCGCCCTCCCGGCTCTCTCTGCCGCCCACTGGGGACCCCCCTCACCTGCCAAGTCCGGAGCGCCGGTGGAAGTTGCATGCATGCATGCAGGGCGCCGCATTGCCATTGCATTGCACTGCACTCCATGCAACGCCTGCACGCATGCATTGCCTTGCACGCCCGCCAAGGGGTCTCCCCGCGGTCCGATGCGTCCCCTCCGGCGCGGATGCAGCATTGCAAAAATAAAACCCCCCCGACGCAGCCCTACCTGGGGGGCAGCCTCCGCCGCTCCGCCTCCGCGGGGATCCCCGGCCTCCATCCTGCCACCTGATCTCCGCGGGGGCGCAAGCAGGCTGCGCGGGGTCTGCGCGGAAGAGCCCCTGCCCGCCCGGCCGCCGCCGCCGCGCTCATTCCATGGCCGGGAGAAGAGCGCTTCAAACAAAACGCCCGGCCCGCCAGGCCACGCTGGGAAACGTAGTTTGCGCACCCCGCGCGGGCGCGGAGCCCAAGGGCGAGGGGACTACGGATCCCGGCAGCCCCCGCGCCGGGGACGGAGGGGGAGAGGCCGGGTGCAGGGATGGAGGGACGGGTGGGCGAGCGAGTGAGTGAGTGGCAGCCGCCAAGCCTTGGCCGAGAGCCAGGAAGGGCCTCCCCGGAGGAGGAGGAGGGAGGCGCAGAGCGGGAGGGAGGGAGGGAGGGAACCCCAGGGGTCATCTAGTGACGGCGCCCCAATCGAAAATTTGACTTTAAAAAAAAAAATAATCTTTCAATTTTTTAATTTTTCCCGCGGCACACCAGGCAACATCTCGCGGCACACTAGTGTGCCGCGGAACAGTGGTTGGGAAACACTGATTTAATTAACTACCCAAGCCCAAAAAAGTGTGTGTGTTTTTGTTTTTAAAGAAGGGGTAGTGGATCTGTAGTTTAAAGCTCTTGAGTCTTTCTCTTCGGGCCCAGATCCACTACCCCTTCTTTAAAAACCCCATTTTTCCTCCTTGCATGGTGGTTGGGTGTACGGCAAATTGCAGTGCTGGGTGGACCTCGGTCACCGTCCACCTTAATTTGCCCAAAGGTTAAATCTCTGTTATGGGCTTGTACCCCGATTCTTCTAAATTATTAGCAATAATAATAATAATAATAATTTTTATACCCCACCCTCCCCGGCCAGAGCCGGGCTCAGGGCGGCTAGCACCAGTAAAATTACAGTAAAATCATAATAGGAAAAAAAACCCAATTTAAAATACAGGTTAAAATGCAATTTAAAATGCAGCCTCATTTTAAAAGTAGCCCATGTATCAAAACCGTAAGGGGAGGGAAACATAAGGGTCAGACTGAGTCCAAACCAAAGGCCGGGCAGAACAGCTCTGTCTTGCAGGCCCTGCGGAAAGATGTCAAGTCCCGCAGGGCCCTAGTCTCTTGGGACAGAGCGTTCCACCAAGTCAGGGCCAGTACTGAAAAGGCCCTGGCCCTAGTTGAGATCAATCTAACCACCTTGCGACTTGGGACCTCTAAAATGTTGTCATTTGTGGACCTTAAGGTCCTCCGTGGGACATACCAGGAGAGGCGGTCCCATAGGTACGAGGGTCCTGGGCTGCATAGGGCTTTAAAGGTCAAAACCAGCACATTAAACCTGACCCTGGACTCCACCAGGAGCCAGTGCAGTTGGTATGCCCCTGGCATAACCAGTTCAAGACATTTTGGCACCTGACATGCATCCCAAAATGGTGCTCCTCTCCCTGCCAGGGAAGAAGGGTTGGGCGAAGATCTACATCAAGAACAAGTAGGGAAAGAAAGATCTACACTGGGATCAGCTGCCCCAGTGGAACCTGCCGCCTGAAGCAGTTGTCTCACCCTGCCTCATGGTTTGGCCGGCCCTGGAGCCTGGATTTGTATTTGGGGTTCACACTCAGCAGGTGTCCCTGCGGCAGAGCAGAACTGGGCCTAAAGAAGGCAGAGGAGCTCACGCTAACTGTTTGGGTGGGTGTCTGTTCTTATGCAGCTCATCGACCGGGCCACCAGCCCACCGGATGATGAAGATGACATCAAAGCCAAGCAGAAGTCCTTGGACGAAAGTTGGCAGGAGATGAGCTTGATCAAGACGGTGCCCAAAGTGCGTCAGGAAGATCTTGAGGAGCCACTGCTGTCTCCAGTCGTGGGTGGGACCGTGCAAGGTCAGGAGAGACATGCTACAGGCGGGTTCTGTTTCCTAATGGCAAACTGTGCTTGTATGTCCAATAATAATAATAACTTATTATTTATACCCGCCCATCTGGCTGGGTTTCCCCAACCGCACTGGGTGGCTTCTAACAGAAGATTAAAAATACATTAAAACATCAGTCATTATAAACTTCCCTAAACAGGGCTGCCTTCAGTTGTCTTCTAAAAGTCAGATAGTTGTTTATTTCCTTGACATCTGGTGGGAGGGCGTTCCACAGGGCGGGCGCCACCACCGAGAAGGCCCTCTGCCTGGTTCCCTGTAACTTGGCCTCTCACAGTGAGGGAACCGCCAGAAGGCCCTCAGTGCTGGACCTCAGTGTCCGGGCAGAACGATAGGGGTGGAGACGCTCCTTCAGATATACTGGACCAAGGCCGTTTAGGGCTTTAAAGGTCAGCACCAACACTTTGAATTGTGTTCCTAAACGTACTGGGAGCCAATGTAGGTCTTTCAAGAACGGTGTTATGTGGTCTCGGCAGCCACTCCCAGTCACCAGTCTAGCTGCCGCATTCTGGATCTCCCGTTTTATCTTCACAACACCCCTGAAAGGTCGGCTAGGCTGAAAGAGAGAGCAACTGGGTCCTGACACTTTGCCAAGCCTGTGAAGATTGTGTTCCTGCTAATAGTTCACTGCAACTTTGAACGGTGTGATTTACTGCCAGCTCACTCTGTGACGCAAGTCCAGGTGGCAGCGGTCCCTCCTGGATTCATCATTGTCCCTGGAGACACAAGTGATGTTAGTAACTAGGCCCAGTTTGGTTTCAGCGCCAGCTGCAGCCATTCCTGGCTAGGGAGATCCTGGCCACAGTGACCCATGTGTTGGTGAACCTTCAGCCTAGATTACTGTAATGGGCTCCATGCAGGTCTGCTTGACGCTGCTCAGGAAGTTACAGCTAGCGCAGAACACAGTGGCTAGGCCTCTGAATGTAGCAGCCTCCTACACCCATTTTGCACTGGGTGGCACCGTGGGTTAAACCACAGAGCCTAGGACTTGCCGATCAGAAGGTTAGCGGTTCGAATCCCCACGACGGGGTGAGCTCCTGTTGCTCGGTCCCTGCTCCTGCCAACCTAGCAGTTCGAGAGCACGCCAAAGTGCAAGTAGATAAATAGGTACCACTCCGGCGGGAAGGTAAATGGCATTTCTGTGTGCTGCTCTGGTTCGCCAGAAGCGGCTTAGTCATGCTGGCCACATGACCTGGATGCTGTACGCCGGCTCCCTCGGCCGATAAAGCGAGATGAGCGCCTCAACCCCAGAGTCGGTCACGACCGGACCTAATGGTCAGGGGTCCCTTTACGTTTACTGAGCCAAATATAAGGAAGGTGCTTGCATTGCGACGCTCTGCCATAAGCATCTTGGGACCTCTGCTGCCAGGGATTTCTGGAGGTCCCCAGGTTGGCGAAGCCTGTCCAGTACTCTTAGCCCAGCCACCTGAAACGTTTGTTCTCTCCTCCGTTGCAGACCCCGAAAGCGGTGTCCTGCCCTCCGAGGCCCCGCTGGTGGAACCGAGGGCTCTGCTGTGCCTGACGCTCCAAGAGAAGTTTCTCTCCTACTACAGGGACCATGTCTCAGTCTCTGAGGAGGAAAAGGCTCTGGGGAAGCAGCTGGCAGGAGACATCTGCGGAGAGCTGCAAAAGTTCCTGAAGAACAAGTACCCAGAGCTGCCCTTTGGACACGCCTTCCTCAGCGGCTACCTTTGCGACGACCTCATCAGCAGCGACCGCCTTGAGGTGGCCTTCATGCTTCCGTTGATGCTGGAACCCAACCTTTGGCTCCTGATCCCCGGCGAACAAACAGTTGTGAATGACCCTTGTTTCGGGATGCTAAGGCGGACTGGCCTGGAGTATTTCCCGCGCGGAAGCAGCCCGTGGGACAGGTTCGTGGTGGGTGGGTACCTCTCGTCCAGCGCCATCAACAAGACCCTCCATAACATGTTGGTGGCCTCTATTAATTGGCCGGTGATTGGCAGCAGTCTGGAGTGCGTCATCAGGCCTGTGATGGATCCCAAAGAGCTTAAGTTGGAAGTCCAGCATGCCCAGATCCGCCTGGACATAAACCTCTGCCCCATGGTAGAAGTGGGGGATAAAATCCTTCTTCCTCCATCCTTTGTAATACCGGTGGAGAACCTCTGGCAGTGGAGCTTTTACGCGGCCGAGGTCTCGGCGCTGAAAGACCTTGATGCCAGAGATGATGGCGTCCGGCAGGGTTGCCTCAACATCTTGAAGGTCATCTTCGAAAACCATCCCTTCTGGAGCAAGCTGGGCAGCAGCCACTTGACTCACGCCATCCTACACCTGAGCGAAACTGAAACCGATTGGTCAGAGGCAGCGTTAGCAGACAGGTGCCAGCAGGTGCTGGAGGAGCTGGTCCGGTACCTGGAGATAGGTTCCCTCCCTTGCTTCTTCGACAGCAGGATAAACCTTCTCAGCCACCTGGCCTCGGAGGAAATCGAAGAGATCGGCTACACTTTGTACGAGGCTTTAGCGGAGCCAGATCTGGCAGCCGGACTCTGCTTATGAACAGGCAATTCAGTGGCGAAAACTGCACTCGTCTCCTTTGGGGGTCGGATGGCTTGGGAGCAGCTCCCATCGATGCAATTCTTTGCACCCTAATGGAATGGAAGTATTCTCAAAGTAAAATCAGGCCTGGGTTGAAAAATGGGAACCTTTCCCTGTGTCCTAGATATTTATGAAATCTAGGGCCAGTAGTGTTACTTTCCAGTGGTTGCATCCCATGGTACTCTGTAGGATTGCTGAACCAGGGTGGAAGGGGGTCTTTGCCTCCTCCTAGCTGGTTTATCCATCCCTACGTAATTGGGAGCATTGTGAAATGGACCTATAGGGGCCCAGTATCCAACAGCACCCCAAATGTGAGGCTCCATTATATGTAATTTGTATCTATTGGGACAAGTCTGCTTTATTGCACTATGTGGAAGTCCGTGAAGATATGTCTCGGGTGGGTAGAGATTTCATTAGGCTGTTGCTGAATCAGTGAGGATCTCACCTTTGGTGCTAAAGCAGCTGCTTTTCCCCATCACCACGCAGGTAGCAGAAGGTCCCCACCTGCGATTTCCAGGCCTTTGGGTGCCTAGAATGAGCACCCCAAGGAATTGAATCTCACTATCTGCAAATGGTTGTGGCTATGTTCTTTGTGGCACAGTGTGACTCAATCACTGTTGTTTTCACTCTTTATTTTTAAATAGCAGGTGGCAAAAAATAAAGTGATCCCCCCCCCCAGTGGCCTTTCCTGCACATCCCCAGACTGAAATGGTGGGGCTCCCTTCTCTACCTCATGGGGCACAAAACTACACAACTTTGTCCCCCACCCCCACCTGTTAAGATATACTTGACGCCAGCGCTAGAAATTTAATCAAGTGCCAAAGGAAGGTTAGGGTGTGGGGAGAGAGGTCTCTAAATCTTGGGTATTCTTAAACTCTCTACTTGGGTAAACTGGAAGGTGCAATCCTCTCAGCCCTAACTGTTCCTTTATTGAGGTCTGGATTCCCATTGTAACGCCAACTTGAAGTGTTCCTGCTGAGGCTAACCTGTATCCAAATCAAGAGTTTGCAATTTGTAGGTGTGTAACTCTGTATGCCTTGCTTAGTTCTGCATTTGCTGAAATACAGAGAGGTCCTTGCTGCTGAGAGACAGAACTATAGTCATGGGTTTGGGCATGGCACAAGGTTTAGTGAGCCCCTCAAGGATTTGTGTCTGTTCCCTGAGCATAAACCATAAACCATCATAGTCTGCAGTATTTTTTTTAAGGAGTGTGTACATTCCCTGTAGAACACAAAAGGGAAAGGTACCTACCAACCGTATTGGCTGTAACTGGGAGTACCAACAGCTCATATCTCTCTCTCAAGACTTAACTTTTCAGGACTGTGTTTCTCTAGAGATCCTTGCCTATACTCTGACGTATAGAAAACCACAATTAAGTCTTGCAAAAAGCCATATACAGAAGAGTGCTATTCCTTTCCCCCTCTGCTCCTACTCTTAACTGGAACTCATGATCCCATGCAGTGGATTTGCACAGAAAATAACTGAAGCTGGGGCAGAGAAGCTGTGGTCCCGGAGAATTTGTTGGGATTCTAACTCCCACTGTCCCTGACTATGGGCTGTGCTTGCTGGCGCTCATGGCACTTGGAATTCAACATCAGTCGGAAGGGCAAAGGTTCCCTTGTTCCAGGTCTGAATGTACAGAGTGATTCTTCACAAGCAGAAGTTGCCCTGCTCTTCCCTTACAATTTTCCTGTGATTTAAATTTTTATGTGAAGCTCCAGCCTTTCTGGCTAGAAGGAACAACCGCAACTAACTTAAGTAAACTTTGCTGCTAAAATGTGTTTATATAGTGGCAATATTAATCGGAAATGTGCAAGGGCTTGAGCTGATGTCACAAATGAAATAAAGAATGAATGATTACGGGCAAAAATTGCTGTATAGTGAGCTTTTTGTGAGTGAAACACAGCTTAAATTCATCCCTGGAACTTGCAAAGGAGGCTGATAATAGGAATTTATTGCTGAAATCTTGCTGATCTGATCGGAAGACGTGAATTGCTTTTATAGTAAGGAGCCTGCAAAATTTGAATAAGGAAAAGTGAATGCTGTTTTTTTAGCAATGTGTGAGAAACATTTTCCCATATGCTCCAGGTAAAAATAAAGGCAAAGGCTATATGCAAAAAATCTGTATCCTATTTACAGTATATTTTAAGCCTGATTCAATTCCTGGAGCTTTGCAGAAATGTTTTTGACCACACCTTGCAAGAGGAAGAACGAACAAACCCCACAAAACCAGACTCTGTCAGCACTATGATGTCACATGTTAGTTTCAACACTTCAACATACTTAGCATTCCACCACTGGAGAACAATGGAGGGGAGGGCAGAGCTTGCATCAATGGCTGATTTGCAGGCCCTGCTCTCTTGAAGCAAAAGGGAAGGAAGCAACCTTCACAGCCCAAAAGGGAAAGAGAGAAAAGGGGGAGCTTTGCACTTTCAGAGTAGTGAGGAAAGGCTTGAAAGTAAGCAGGCAGCATTTTAATAGAGAGACAGAAGCTAGTCCCGGTGGTTCCCGCCATAGCTACGTGCCTCACTCTTCCTTCCCTGGAGAGGTGACGAATTCTACACCATCTTTCAATGTGCAATCTGTGATACACTGGCTGTTGGTTGTAAGACGAGGCACAATACCAACATCACACACCATGTCTTAAGCTAAATTATATATAGAGAGAGAGAATGTGTGCCCATAAATTACCCAAACCAGTTTGTAATCAGGCAGTAGCTTGCTTTTAATCAGAACATTTACCAGACAACAGTTGGAGTTGGAGAGATGTTGTCTGCATCCCATATCCTCCTTCCTCTTATATAAGGTGCTGAGGCTTGCTGTCCTCGTTTGGAAGAAGTAAAGGACTTCCTGGTATGCAGGTGGTGTACCTAGTGGTGTTCAGTAAACAATGGTTCTCCACCACTGTTAGTCCACTGACCTTTAACATTTTCTAGGGAAGAAAAGCAGGCTCTACAGCTCTTTCAGTCACAAAACCTTTGTACCGGTGGCTATTGCTTTGGAAAAGCAACATACACAGTTCAGGACCCATGAAAAAGTAAGATGAGGGTTCGTAAATCACAGCCGCAGCCTGCACCCCAAAAAACAGTACAGCTACGCTCTGTAGTCTTGTTTGCCGTCTCTTCTTGAGGTTGCGTTTGGCCCAAGGTCTCGGACCGCACACCTCTTCAAGCCAGTGTGTGACACTGGAAAGAAACAGGCACTTCAGGCGAATTATCTTTCCTTCACAAGAATTCTGCTCACAGATCCGTAAAGAGTTTGCTCCTTCCAAAGAATATGCGGATTATAGAATAACTGACAGGAAAGAAAAGTCTCTTGTGCTTTCTGCTGTTCAGGTGGGGGGGGGGGAGACTTATTGAAAGATAAAAATGGAGATCTGTAGGCTGCTGCATAAAGAGGGGTTAGCGGGAAGACTTCCTACTGCCTCAAAATCGTCTGACTCTTGAATGCATTACAGCTAAGAGATCAAAGACCTGTGCTGTGCCTGGCTCATAGAAAGCAGACCTGACCTTCCACCAGCACTGGAAGAATGTGAAGGCCTGGCCACAAAAGGAACCATGCTTGCAAGAAGGCTTCCAATATTCCAGGCAAACACTTCCTCATTGCATTGTAAGAGTTCCCTCTCATCCCTCATCCTTCTGAAGGGATGTCCTGGGTCAAATTCTGGGGGCTGGGCTGCTTCAGTGATTCTGTGGACATGTCTTCCTGGTATGGCCAGGTTGGTGGCAAATACCGCAAGTCCGTGGCCTCTTGTTAGTGGGCGCCCTCACGGAAGAATCGCTGTCTGATCTTTTAGTCTTAGTTCCTGAGCCTCTCGTGTTCCCTTTGTTCGTGAAGTGGTTTGAAGGAAAGGCGGCATCTGGGGCTAAAGAGAAGGAAAACATTTAAGATTACTTCAAATGACAGAAGTGTGCCATAGAAGAGGGGTTGCCACTTTTTTTTTTTTTTTAGGTCTGTGGACACGTTGGAAATTTTGAGTGTGTATCCCCCACTTTGAGACAGAGAAAGGACACACATGCACACTTTCCGTTTCCAAGGGATCTGGGTCAATGCTGGATCCTATAGAATTCAATCTGAGCCTTTGAAAGCAAATATTGCTGAAACTGGAAGTGGGAGAAAGCTGAAAAAGGAAGTTGGAAGAGTGACGCTATTTTACATATTTTTAACAGAGAAAAAGGTAACGACACACACCACAACATGACCAAGGGGGTGGGCATTCATGGACACCACAGGAAGACTTCAAGGGTGTCACTGCCCCCAAAAGGTGGCCATGTTGTTAGAATATAAGCAACCAACTTATACAAGGCAGACCAAAGTATACTGTTGATGGTGGCATCTGGTCCCCCTTTCTCAGCTCTGTGAGGGGTGGCCTGCTGCACCGTGAGACCTGAATTTTCCAGCCTGTTTACTCTAGTTCAGCTACACCTACAATAATCGGGGGGGGGGGGAACCTCTTTAGGGATTTGCCCTTTCCCCATCCTTGCTAGCCCAGGGCTGGTTAAACGGAGAGAGTGAGCAGCTTGAATACAGGACCTTTTGTCTGCTGAATTTCCCTCTGCTGCCAGCTGTGTGCTAAAATCTTAGAACAGGCAAATACAGTGGAATCTTCGAGGATCTAGCAGATCAGCTGGAACCTACTTGGGAAGGTAAGTTTGCAAGCGAAGCCACATAGGATATTGGCAATTCCCTGCCATTTCAATCCAAAAAGGCACAGAGCTTCAAGTTACGTGCCATTTGTATCCCACCATTCCTGTAAAGAGCTCAGACGGGGTGATGCAGGTGTGATTATTCATCTCCTTCCCTTGCCAGCTTTTCTCCTCCCAGGAAGCCTCCACACACTGGGCTGATTTTAACCCGACTCTCCAGAGTCGTCCCCCGTCCCCAAACCATCTAGACCCCTTTCCTTACCTGGTGCCGTGTTTTCATCCGCCCACTGGAAAAAGCCACACTGCTGTTCCCTTGGCTTGGAGCAGGTGTGGAACTGACGTCCTTTGTTGGGTCCTTCTTTCTGAACAGTCCTGGTGACAGCAGGCTGGCCACACCTGCACACAGCTCCTTGCCCACCGCCGCCGCCTCCTCCAGGGTCGGAGCCGTCACTCCAAGAGCGCCCTGAGCCCCTTTCCCCTCTATCAAAGGGGCCTGGAGGGGGTGCAAAGCCCCTGGGCATCCCAGTGTCCCTGCTGTCCGGTTGCTGATCGGCCCACAGGAAGAAGTTGCAGCTGCCAGCGCTGCATTTATAGAACTGCCTGCCTTGGTTGGGTCCTTCTTTCCGGACGGTGAGCAGCACAGCCTCCTCCCCACAGTTGCATACCACTGCATTGTTCCCATCAGAATTGGCAAGCGCAGGGGGAGGATTTCGGGCGGCCCATGCAGGAGGGCCTTGGGGAGCATTCGGGAGTGCCCTGTGGCTGTTCCAGTTGCTGTCGGTGCGGTCAGAGGAACGGTTGGCTTGTGAGAGGTTGCTTGCTTGGCTGGTCGTCTGCAAAGGTCTTGGTGGCCCTTGAAGGTATTTCAGATCCAGGATCTCCCTCAGGGTTTCATCGCAGCCTCCGATGCAGCCAACAAACTCCAGGGGCATTATGGGCGGGAGGCTGCCCCTCTTGAACTTCATCTTCAACCTAAAGAACAGAGGTGTTATAAGTTAGCACTGGGCTTCGTCCTGGCCAGTGTAGACAGCAACAGCTAGTCCAGGGGTGGGGAAGCTGTGGCCCTCTGAACATTGCTGGACTACAACTCCCATCATCCCCAACTCTTATTCATTCGTGCTGGCTAGGGCACCTGGGAGCAGGAATACAACAACATCTGGAGAACCACAGGTCCCCACCAGTGAACCAAACCATACAGTGGTACCTTGGTTCTTGAACTTAGTCCATTCTGGGAGTCCGACTCCCGAAACCGTTCAAAAACCAAGACGCGGCTTCCAAAAAACGTTTGCAAACCGGAACACTTACTTCCGGGTTTGCGGTGTTCGGGAGCCGGTTTGTTCGGCAACTAAGCCGTTCGAGAACCAAGATACCACTGTATTGTGTTATTTACTAGATCACAGTTCAAGCAGTTGCCTCCAAGTTTTTAATCATTATAGTTGTCTTTAAGCAACTGAAGGCCTGCCAAGCAATAGATGGAGCAGTTATCCTCTGGTCTTCCAGAGGCCAGGACTAAAACCAATGTTTGGAAATTTCAGAGAAGCAGATTTTGGCTGAACACTATGGAGAAGACCTGTGGGAAGCGACGGGATCTTTGACGGGGGTATTTGCATACTGCACTGTAGATCCTGTACTTAGCAGATTAGACATTCTAAGGATGCCTTGCCAGTCAGCTCCCAAGGTCCTGCAAAGAGGGCACTCGGCCTATTACAGTGGTACCTCGGGTTACATACGCTTCAGGTTACAGACTCCGCTAACCCAGAAATAGTACCTTGGGTTAAGGACTTCAGGATGAGAACAGAAATCATGCTCCAGCGGCGCAGCAGCAGCGGGAGGCCCCATTAGCTTCAGGTTAAGAATGGACCTCCGGAACGAATTAAGTATGTAACCAGAGGTACCACTGTATCTTCAAAAATGTGCAAGTAAAGGTCCTGCTCGGGAAGGAAACCTAACCCACATAGCGCAGGCCAGTTGGATTGTATCCAATGTTAGTTAGCTCATGGTGCTGTTAACGCCAAGGTTGCAGGTTCAATCCCCGTACAGGCGACCTGCATATTCCTGCATTGCAGGGAATTGTACTAGATGACCTTTCCAACTCTACAATTCTATGGTTCCATTGTGAGTAGAAGTTTTTTGGCTATTATTATTGTTAATTAAATTTCTATACCGCTCTTCATCCGATGATCACAGGGCAGCTTACAATCAGGGTGGATTTGATTTAAATCAAATCGATTCAAATCACAATTTAAATCACTAGCCAGTCAGACTAATCAGTAAGACTTGATTTAAATCTTTTTTTACAGAAAGGTTCAACCTTGCTGGCATCCTCTTAACATTGACAACCAGATGAAGGTTTCATTTTTGGAACCATAAATTTTCAGAGTGGTTTTTACAGTTCTATCAAAAATGACTGATTTGGTTATACTATTATAAATACATTGACAGATAATTATGAAATTACTGTGAGGTTTAATAAGTTAACTGCTTATATTTGGACAACTTTTCTGCTGTACTTTATTGGAAGGAGAAAAATAATCATTTCCTTGGTAACAATTTAAACAATTTATTTAACTAAAACAATAACATTATAGCATATGTCTCCATGTTTGTTAACTGATGTGGTTAAACGGGTGGTGTTTTTTAGCACACATGAAAAACTTAAAACAAATCCTTATTTCCTGATGAATAGCCTTTAGACTAGAATGTATCTTAAATAGAAAGCTATCTTTAGAAAGATTTTTTCTCCAAAAGTGTTTTATTTTAAAAATCCGATTTAAATTTAAAAAATCCAATTTTTTAAAATAAAAATCATTGATTTTTGTCCACCGTGCTTACAATATTTAACTACAAAAATACACACCGTGATAACAAACAAAAACAATACCCCCCACTGTCCGCAGCTACGACCCGGTGTCCTGATTTTGCAGATTTGGCTGAGCATTTGGAAAACGTGGGACACTTGAACAACCTGTTTTACAATGGAGGGGAATATTGCAACTCGTCCCCTGCACCTCCCTCTTCAATAGCTGCTGCTGCAGAACATGGGTCATGCGCCACTCCCTAGCAGGGCAACCTCCTGCTACCATTCCCTCTGATGTGTCTGAGGAATGGATCTATTACTTGACTGAAATGCAAACCCACTTCTCCTGCCTCTCAGGAGAAAATTCCACCTGAATCTTCAACCACTTCAAAAACCTGCCGCTAGGTATGCACCCCAAACTGTGATGTGAACGGAACCAAAGCGCCTCCCCGTCTTTAGGAAAACACTCACATGTGCACCGGATGTGGTCTGCACACTTCGCAGATGGAGTCGTCTTTGCTGACTTCCAGCAGAGAATCGGGGAACCACACAGCAGATTTACAGGTGGGATAGCCCAAGCAGCTGAGGAAAAACCTGGGGATTTTTTTTAAAAAAAGAAAAAGCATTAGAAGGAAACGGCAGAATAGGGGAGGAACTATGGGAGAGGCTGTAGATCAGTGGCAGAGAGTTTGCTCTACATGCAGAAGGTCCTGTGTTCAAATCCCGAGAAGTCTATGTAGGGTAGAAATGTCAGGATGACTAGCCCACAGAAAATTAACTACTCTTGATTCCCCATAGATATTATCTGTGTGGCCAATTGCAGTATATGGACTCTTCAGAGGCAGGGCAGGGAGTGGGGAAAGAACCCAAGTGTCTTCCCCTGATGAACGCATCCCTGTCTGGTCACCTAAAGGTAATTCTTGCTTGTCCCAGGTGACCAGGCAAGTGGTTATTTGCAGACTTTGACTTTGTGGGTTGGCATCACACTGTGCCTGTAATTAGGGGCATAGGAAGGTGCCTTACGAGGAGTCAGACCATTGCTTTGGTATGGTCTACACAAGTCATATTCAATATTTTCAGACTCAGGGCCTGCCTTTAACCCATTTGGGGACCTGCTTCTCATTCAAAACCCAGCCAGGGAGTTCAATTCTGCTTTTCAGCCCAGGATTCAGCTGCTTCTCTACCCATCCCACACCTGATGTCAGGTGCGAGACAGGTGGGTGTGGCTTAACAAAAACAGTGTGGCAGGCCAAAGGGGGAGGCCTGGGGAGCCAAAGTTTCCCCAGCCTCGAACTCTGCAAGTATTAATCAGCAGAGAAGGAATACTGTCCCTCAGCCGAATTTCAAGGGAACTCTCTCTAAGCAGGTCTGGGAACTGCTACCTATTCAGTCACCCATGGTGAGTAACAATCACCTCCAGATGACCAACAAAGGCAATGGGCTCACCCCCCCCATTAAGTCCCATCATGACTTGCAGGTATGTATTTACAGACTAACTAGTAAAGCATTTTTTGTGAACAAACATATTTGCAGACTCGTTTGTAAGATGGGTGTTGTTTTAAAATGTCAGGTTGTTTACTCTCATATTGACCCAGAGCTGGGTTATTATCGGGCACACTGAGGGGACTGCTTTGGATCTTGCTGGGATCCAGACGTGGCAGATCCCACCGCCATGCCTGCCTGCCTGCTGCCCAACCCTCCCACTGCTGCCACCGCTTCTGGTGAGCTCTCACTGCCGCCACCACCTCTCCTCACTTCCCTGGTTACAGGGGGGGGGATGCTTCCCTCCTCTGCCACATCAAGAAGGGGGGTCAGGAGGGCCAATGATCTGAAAGATGCCTTTGAGAACGGCTAAGGGGTGGGCTGTTAGCGGGAGAGGAGTTAAGGGTGATTGTGCCATGTTCAATATATAAGGGATTCACTAGAGGGAGAGGTGTTTTCTGCGCTCAGAGAAGCGGAACGGAGAATGATCAATCAGAAAAAGTTCCACCTAACATAGGAATTCCGCAGTAAAGCGTCGCAGTAATTTGCTGCAAGGATGTGGTGGGTTCCTTCTTTGGAGGTCTTAAGCAGAGGTTGACACTTGTAGGGTGCTCTGAGTGTTCCGCTTGCAGGGGGTTGGACTCGATGGCCCTTGTGGTCTCTTCCAACTCTATGATTCTATGATTCTATGATTCTGCCACCAGAGCAGCAGAGGAGGAGGCAACAGCAGGACCCCAGCTTTGGCAGGAGGTGGCAGCTTCTTGTTTCTCTTCAGGTGGCAAAACAGGATGGGCCACCCCTGTACTGACCCTCCATTCTTCTTGGTCTTCAAGACCATGTCGCTGTTGCACTGTGGACATTTCCTAACAGGATCTGGCATTGCTGGGTAGATCTCTTCTTCTTGTGCAACGTGGGTCACTTCCCCAAAATACTGAGACAGAGCCTCATCCAGCCTGTAAAGACAAACAGACAAAGCTGCACTTGTTTTCCCCGGCTGCCAGCTGTTTCGGCTCAAAGGATTAGTGGGTTTATAAGTATTTGCACAGAAAACAAAACACAAGCAAATCAGCGTTCGTTCCTTAGCAGGAAAGATTGCGGAAGGCCATGCCAGAGACACAGTTTCTGAAGGGAGGAGGAAGACTCCTTAAAAAGGCAAAGGGAGAAAAATTGTAGCCCTCCAGAGGCTGTTGGTCTCCAGCTCCCATCATTCCATGCTGGCTGAGGATGATGGGAGCAAGAGTCCTGTAACATTCAGAAGGCACCCCCTCCCACCCATCCCTGTGCTACAGGAAGTGGCTCTTGCCAAGGAATAAATGTAAAAGACAAAAGAAAATGATGGGTAAAAAGAGAAATGGGAGGGAATGAAATAATAAAAGTAATAGTCTATTTTATCAGATGTATTAACTGCTCACCTAATTTGGGAGGTATGAGTAAATACAGAAGAGCGTAATGCAGAATTGTCTTTCCTAAGAGAGGCTAAAAGCAGTTTGAGAGGGGACAATAGGTGCCTCACATTATTACAGAAAGGGCGCACACACGAAAACAGGCAGAGCGAGGCACTCCTAGCAGACTGCCAATGTTATGAGCGGACTGGGAGTGCACAGCTCACTCATAAAATAATTGCACTTCTTCCGGTATTTATTTACGCAATTCATCTTGTGCGAATAAATACCTACAGTCGTACAGCAACGCTGACCACACCCAGCCTATATTCCATTATCCGCTTAAGGAGTGGACGACCAGTAGCACTTGGCCTGATTTCATGTAGATGGCACGGGTGGGGGGAATTAGGGGAGAGGGGTGATGGCAGTGGCAGAAAGACAGAAAAGGGTTGCCCTGCTCACTTTTTTGTCTCTGGCGCTGCCCACTGATAGCATGTAGCCCCCACACACGGGTAGGCAAACTAAGGCCCGGGGGCTGGATCCAGTCCAATCGCCTTCTAAATCCGGCCTGCACACAGTCCGGGAATCAGTGTGTTTTTACATGAGTAGAATGTGTGCTTCTATTTAAAATGCATCTCTGGGTTATTTGTGGGGCCTGCCTGGTGTTTTTACATGGGCAGAATGTGTGCTTTTATTTAAAATGCATCTCTGGGTTATTTGTGGGGCACAGGAATTCATTTTTTTTTTCTTTTCCAAAATATAGTCCGCCCCCCCATAAGGTCTGAGGGACAGTGGACCGGCCCCCTGCTGAAAAAGTTTGCTGACCCCTGTCCCAACGGGGGGGGGGGGAGGTTCCCCAGCCCTGACAAAGGCACCTTTCATTTACAAAATGTATATTCCCGACTGTGAACACAAGGAGCCAAGACTAATTTATTGATGACTCCATGGGAAGAAGATCTATTTGAACCCAGGTTTCCTGTGTGTGCCTCATGTCTATTGGAACCACGACAGTAATAAGAGCCACCACAATGTTGCAAAGCAATGAGATAGATAGATAGATGATAGATAGATAGATAGATAGATTCTTTATTGTCATTACACAAGTGCAACATTGCACAAGTGCAACGAAATTGGAGGCACGAAATTGGAGATACGGAGGAGCTCAGCTGCCTCTCCTGGCTTGGGCGCTGCCGAGTCCTAGAGAGGCAGGAAATGACTCACTTCTTTGCCTTCGCGACAGCTTCGATGAAGACTCGCTTGTACTTCTGGATCTGCTCCCTCAGCACAACAGATTTCTCCTTCCTCCCCTCGCAGATCAGCTTCAGGTCAGCTTCCAGTTCGGCTCGGAGGTCAGGCTTAGACATTTCGTAGCCCATGGCATCGTAGCCTGGAGGGTGGGAGTGGGGTGAAGACCTTGTGGTGAGGGAAAGGATGTGAGGAAGAGCAATCCTAAAAGCTCACTTAGAAGGCCCATCCTTACCTTCTACCAGCCCCATCCCCAGCTCCCCAGGAAGGAACCTCTGCTCTGGGGTGAGCCCCACGTACATGCGGGACTTGATGGTCTCAATGTGCTCCGCGTGGGTTGCATCTGTCCCTGAAAGTAATCATTTCGGTTAGCACTCATCAGCCATGAGGAACCTCCTGCCATTATTTCTTGCACAATACTGACTGAGAACTGTATTCACTACTCAAACGCTGGCTTAAAAGACTTGCAAACTGATGCATGTAATAAGAGGGATACTGCATTCTGCCACTTGCAACACTTACAGCACAAATCAACTCCTGTACCTACTGTTCACCAGTATCCCCAGAATTCACAACTCCTTCCCCATTCACTTATCCTTCACTGTCCCCTTTTATCACTAAAATGCCCATCCCACAATACGTGTAAGTTCTCCGCACACTGCCAAAGGTTTAGGTAGCTTTTAGGCAGTGTGGTGTACAGAGCGTCTTGAGACATGTGATTACATTTCCCTTGAACTGCCTGTAGGGAACTAACCAATGCCGTGCTTCTCCATGAGGGAAATGAGGTCAGCTTCTGTAAGCAGCTGGGGCGGGCTGGTCTCCCCATCCGTCATCTCCACTGTGGTGGGCTGAAAGCGAGACCCCCTCTCATAAACTGGGATAACCTGTGGGGCAAGGGGAGAGGGGGAGAGAGAGAGAGAGAGGCAGACAGACAGAGAGAGAAACAAACGACACAGTGAGAGAAGTCTACATTTGGAGTTGCTTAACTTAGAAAAAAGGGAATAAGGGGTAGGGCTGGGCAATATCTGGTTTTCAACTTTGCTATACATCACGATATACTGAAGTCATTGCGGATCAGTGCTTTATTGAGTGAGATCTTCCTTTGCAGCATGGCTTGAGCTCACATGGTGCTGCAACAAAAAAATGAGCCAGCTGACATCATGCTGATCTCAGGTGCTTGACAGGTGAGTGGGGAGCTCAGGATCTGGCCCGCTGGGTTGAAAAGGTTCCCTGCCCTCGTAATAATGAAATACTGAAGGGTTTAGTTTATATATACCGTATTTTTCGCTCTATAACACGCACCCGACCATAACACGCATGTAGTTTTTAGAGGAGGAAAACAAGGAAAAAATATTCTAAACGAAACAGTGGATGTATGATTTTTATGGTTCATGCTGTGGCCACAGACATGTGATCTGACAGTGAGTTTGGGGTAGCCCAATGCAAAAATCCTGAGGATCCATGCTTTGTAACCACGTTTTTGCGCCATTGCGGCCCCATGAAACAGTGGGTGCGTGTGTGTTTTTTGGTGCAGGCTATAGCCATGGAAATGCTATGTGATCTGATGGTGAATTTGGGGTGACCCAGTGCAAAAATCCTGAGGATCCATGTGGATCCGTGCTTTGTAACCACGTTTTAAGTAGGGAGGGAAGGAAAAGAACTCAAGGAACAAGGAGCACGCGTGGGGTGGGTGGAGAAGGAGCTTTTCTGCGAGCTGAGTGGGGAGGAGGGAGGGAAAGAGCACTGTTGCTTTAAAGGTATACTTAAGGTATTTGCCCTGTGCCTGGGTTTTTTTCCACTTAACAGTTTGCAGCCTTTTCCTTCCACTCCTTGTTTTGAGGCAGAATAGATTTGAGCAAGTGAGGAGGACTTGGATTGCAGGGGATTCGCCATTAGCTGTGTAAAAGCGCTCCTCCTTGCAGCCTGAATGATAAGCAGCCACCAGCAGCAATAGAATGGAGCACAAAAAAGCGGTCGGGGCACTAGGACCCAGACAATGCTCAAATCTATCCTGCCTGAAAACAAGCTGCTCCCTCCCAGCGGATCAGCTGAGACGCGGAAGTTTTCCCCTCTCCCTCATGCCCTCCCCAGCCTTTTTTTTTTACTTCCTGGTTTTCACTGCGCTGGCTCAGAGCTCGAGGTTGGTTTTATTTTGCTGCTGGTTGCTTAAATTTTATCTTTCCTGCCGTCCCTCTGCAGCCTCATTGCTCTGTTTAGAGAGCGCACGGACTTTTGCTAGCGTCTGTCCCTCCTCCCTGTAAGCGGCTGCTGCCGGCTTTGCTGCCATGGCTCTCCTTCCCTCCCTCCTCCCCGGCTCCAGGTCGCTTTAAAACAAGCAAAGTGAGAGCCTCGTAGAGCGTGTAAGCGGCTCCCGCTTTGCTTGACTGACGGCAGCCATGGCTCCGATCCGTGCATTCGCTCCATAACACGCACAGGCATTTTCCCTTACTTTCTAGGAGCAAAAAAGTGCGTGTTTTGGAGCGAAAATTGCGGTAATATGCAATATGCTGTGAAAAGTGAACCATGGAAAAAGAAGGAAAGTCATTGATATTTTAAGGTTGTTTAAGTGAATTTTCTAAAATGTAAAACAGAAATTTAATAAAAATTATATATTATATAATACGAAAGAAAAGGTTCCCTATTCCGTCGGCTGGGCAGACGTTTGGCAGGATGGTTTTCTTGTTTTTAAAAATCATGTTCTTATGAAAAGGGAGTAGCCAACATATAGCTACCACCGGTCCTAAAAGCTCTGTTGGCACACCATACTGTTTCCGTAAGTCTTTTTTTTTTTTTTTGCCTTTGACATTTACAAATGGAGGGGCAGATTTGGCCCAGGGGATCTCTGTTGCTGACCCCACTATTGAGTCCAACCATACTGAACAAGTCCCACCTCACCTTATCGCTCCACTTCTCGTAAGGATAGACATCTAAGTAATTTCTGGCCAGGATCATCAGCCCATGAGCCACAAAGCGCTCGTTAGCAATGTCAATCTCCACGGTTGTTTCCTGTCCCTTCGCATCTTGTGAACAGCAGGCTAGGAAGTGGCGCACAATGAATTCATAGAGTCGCTGGTCATTCCCCTATTAACAGAGTGCAAAGGAAAATGCATAATATGTGAATGGAATTTGAGAGGACAACACAGCTTCTGGTTCAGTTCAGGGAGACAGCTTTGGGCAGGGTAGAAAACAGGTATACTGTATAATAAACAAAGATTTCTCTTTCTACAGAAAGAAGCAGCAGCAAAGGATTCTAGAGTCTTTCACAAACTTCCGATAGCCACGGCACTTTAATCTGAATGGGAAACTTGCATGCCCTTGCGCCTGAAATGGCCTGCTATTTAAAGCATGATAAGGTTGAGATTACTGTAATGTGCTCTGTCTGGGGCTGCCCTTGGCTTTGGAAGCCCCAGCTGGTCTGCAGGAATATCTTTGGTCATTCCCCAAGTTGGCGAGGCTCATTTGACAAGGGGAAAAAAGCCTTTAGTGTTATCGGTCCAGTCCTGTGGAACTCTCTGCCAATACAGATTCTGCAGGCACCATCTGTTCTTAAATGCCTGCTGAAAATGATTCCATGCTGCCAGATCTATGCAGGCAATGAAGAATGCATCCTTTTACAATGATTAATTGATGCTTATTTTCAACTTTTTTTTTACAGTTTCTAATGTATTTTTTTAATGGTTTTGTTTCTATAAATCGCTTCGATTTAATTTTTACGACACACAACCATGCAAATTAAAACAAGGCTCCACCATCATGTTTCTCAATGGGGATAACCTGTCACGGCTCCTCTGCCAAGTGGTAGTTAGAAAAACAAGCCAGCCAGTCAGATTCTTAAGAGTAAACAAAGCAGCATATGGTGTAATAAGCAAGAAAAAAGCGACCCCGACCACATGGGCTCACCTGCAAATTTCCCGCGTATTTTGTAGGATGAATAGGGGGGTGAGCCTGATCTGATTTAGTTCCACTACGTGGGGTCGGCCCACCCTGGTCTAGAATCCTTTGTGCAAAGGCTCCCCAGTGAGGGTCTTGCGTTTGAAGCTGCACCAAGTTGGGGAGGTTTAGGTCTTTAGGGAAAATGTTGGTCTCTGTTCGAGGATAACTTATGTACCTTAAAAATAGGAAATAAAGGGCCATTAAAAAATGACAATTTGTAACATAAAATAAGCATTGCTTTTAAACAAATCTACACCTAATTTTCTTAAAAGGCTGAATGTTTTTCAGTAGCAGATATTAGCACTCAACAAGCCACAGACTGCTTGGGCCCTGTATACCTGGAGAAGAGTTTCCGGCCCCATCCTCCAGCCCGGACACTGAGATCCAGGTCCAAGGGCCTTCTAGTGGTTCCCTCACTGCGAGAAGTGAGGTTACAGGGAACCAGGCAGAGAGCCTTTTTGATAGTCATTTGCGCCCTGTGGAACGCCCTCCCAGCAGATGCCAAACAGGTAAACAGCTACGTGATTTTTAAAAGACATCTGAAGGCAGCCCTGTTCAGGGAAGTTTTTAGTGTGTGATGTCATATTATGCCTTTATTTTTAGTTGGGAGCCTCCCAGAGTGGCCAGAACAACCCAGTCAGATCGGTGCCATATTATTATTAATAATAATAACCATTAGGACTTCCATGTGATCCTGATCCATCACTCATCTTCCATTGTGTCTGCTTCTGGAAATACTAACCTGAATGTTTTATACAACAAACAGGCACAAACTACTGCAATTTTTACCCCTGAGTGTAGAGCTTCTCAGCGATTTTCATGGTTTCTTTGGCATTTATTTTCAGCTTACGAGAAGCCAACTTCTCAAGTTCCTGTATCAGAGGCAGATGGGGAAAATATATGCTCAATGACTGCATCGCCAGATGGTCCATGTGCAATTTGACATTAAAATAAGCCGGTCTACTAGCTTCAGAAAGACCATAACACGTCTAAAATGCTAGTGAAGGCTTCCCCAACCAGGTGCCCTCCAGATCTTGTTGGACTGCAGCTGTCATCAGCCACAGCCAGCTTGACCAACAGCCAGGAATGATGAGAGTTGTAGTCCAGCAACATCTGGAGGACACCAGGTTGGGGAAGACTGTTCTGGTAAACACACTAAACTCTGAAAACTGTAGTACTGGTGTCTCAGCTCCAAGAAACAGTAGGCCTGATGGTCACATATTTCAATTAGTAAAAGACAGAAGCAGCATTTTCCAAAAGCTTTGCAAGTGGCATAGGGCAATGTCAGAGCTTTTCAGACTTATCAATACTTCCCTGTTTCTCCTGTATGTTGTACTTGATAAATATTCCACAAGTTCTAAAGCTGAGGAATTCAAGGGTTTAACCTTAAGGAACCAAAATCTTTCATACATTCATAAAGAGAATATTTGTAGTGAGCCTCTTTCTATGAGGCTTTCCAAAAGGACATTGATTCAGAATACGAAGTCAAGTAAGAGCTCTTGATTAGTTGCTCTCCTGAGAGCCATTTCCATTACGTCCTAATGCCAGGACCCTCTTTTCATCAACATACCACGGTGTCTAGTGGCAGGGGTCTCCATTTGCTCCTTGGTCTGCTCCCAATCTCCACAACTGTGGCAACAGGATCCTAAGAGAAAAACAAGCAGCAAGAGTGAGCTCCCTCCGGGGCCTTGGAATGCTAAGAGAATGAAGAATGGACTATGTAGTTTCTTACCTCCATGCACATTTGGTAGAGAACAAGGCAGGCTGTGTGGTTGAAGAGACGGTTCCTCTTCCAGCTGAAGTCCACAGTGCCTTCCTCATGGTCATGGGTCACTGCAGAGAGAAGGCAGATCACTTTTGAGACCCAGTGTCACAAAGGTCATACAACACAGAAGCAACGCACTCAAAGCAGGAGTGAGAAGCTTGTGGCTGTCCAGACGTTTTGGACTACAACTCTCATCATCTGTGGCCATTGGACATGCTAGCCGAAGTTGGTCCAATATCTGGAGGGCCACAGGTTCCTCATCATACAGAATTGTGCTGGGGAAGGGTGATTCCACTCAACATCAACAGAGCAGAAGGTCCAAAATTATGAGGAAGACAATACATTTATTTGTGGATAAAAGCAAGCTCCTATAGTGGCAGACAAATGTTTTGACAATGCAAACAATTTTTATAAACATAAAAAAGTTTTTGCAATTTACATTAATTAATAGTAAAAAAAACCTTTTTAAAAAAATGTTTCGCTTTCTGCATTTGATATTCTGAAACATACCTTTAATTTTGTAAAACAACTCAGGAACAAAGGCCTGAATGGCTTTAAACCTTTCCACCACAAATCCCAGTGTTGGGAACTGACAACTTCCGTAGCTGATCAGCTGTTCTGCTAAAACGTTGGGGAAGAGTTTCTGGAACCTCAAAGTCTGGAATCGGGTGAAGGCAGCACCTAGGCAGAGAAGAGAAAATAAGCCATATGGCCGTGCGTCCATCTGTACTGGAGAGACAGGTGTTACTGCACAGGACTGGCCATGAGAGTATGTTTCTAGTACTTAAGTTTTTTAAAAAAAACAACTGAAAATATAACAAGCAGTGCATTACCAGAAAGCTCACAATTTTTGGAAACACAGCACATGCAGAGCAAATACCTGTGCTTTGAAAGACCTTTCCCGATAATACGCTAGTTATCATCTTTATACTGACTTATGCCACAATATCCATTGTGACCCAATTATCTACATAGCACGAGAGGTGTTTATATGTGGATAAACTACCCCTTATGCCTTTCGCTCCCATACCTATCCTGAGATCCAACTCTTGTCTGACATCCACAGCATCACTAATATTCTGATTGGGCTGGGTGAGATTCTCACAGGCAGTTCTGATGGCACCAGGCGTGATCTCGGAGAAGCGAGCTCGGAATACCTGGAGGCTCGGCTTCACTGTCCACCAGAAAGAGAGATTAATGGCAGATTTAGACTGAGGAAGCAACATGATTAAAATATTTTAAGAAATCTCAATAACATCCCAGTGGTCCGCAAAACATAGCTGACATCTTTTATCTCATAGTGCTATTGTTAAAGAAGGTGTTTTTAAGTCAATTTAATAGGCCATGGTAAGAGTTAGGAGAGAAAATACTTTTAAGGCATATTGGGCTCAAAGCCCAATAGATGGAGAATCCTTAAACTGTGGCTTGTGGACCACCACTGGTCCAGATGTGCTTTTGGGTAGTCCATAAGAACATCTCAAAAACAGGAAATTCTGCTGAAGGTATTTTCCAAAGACACACTAAATAAGAGTTTGTATCTATTCCTATGTTCCACAAATACAATTGATTCATGCCAAATTCTGAATTAAAACTCAGCTCCTTCTACACTCTGAAGGAGCTGCATTTGGACAGAGTAAAGGGGAAGCATTACCAGGTGGCAAGCAGATGTTTCTTCCTATTCACATGCTTTGCAGCACAGATACTATAAATCAGGACCAACTCTTAACTGAAGCACACGGTATAGGTGTGTCAGAATGCATAAGGAGCCAAATTCCAGAAGCCTTGTCTATGGCTTCCCAGGTGGCAGATATTGGAAAACGTGATGTTTCCACAAAATCCACAGCAAACTAGAACAGTGGTCAGGGGCACCAATGGGTACACTATAAATCCCAGTGTATCACTGTGCAAGAGTGGGAGAATTCGGTAGCAGGCTTAGAGGCCCAGATTATCAGGCACCGCATTCTCTGCTTTTGGTCCACTATAATACAAGCATTTCAGGTGGCGGGGAGAGGAAATCACTGCATTGAACAGACTGGGCTGCATCTGGGAAGACTCTGCTTGAAGGAAGAGGGTTGGTCTACGTGCATTTCACTGACCCAGGATTCTGTTAAGGAGGGTCACATTCTCACACCACAACCCCACACACCTGCTTTGCAAACGTTAATGATCTCGAAGCCAATGTTCTCTCCTTCGCGATCGCAATCTGTCCAGATCACCAGAGCCTGGCACTGCTGAACTTCTCGCTCAAGTGTTCGCTGGAATAAGTAGTGGGACAAGATGAGAGAACAGGGAAACAAGCCACCCACAATGCTGCTGGTTTTAATTGCTACCTACCACATAATCAGCAGGTGGCAAGGACACAGAACACATTTCTACAGTTAACAGGCAAGACACACCATGCTCCCAGGCTTAGGCCAAAAACAATGGGACTTACTTCCAAGTACACATGCTTAGGATTTTGCTACAACAATGAAAATCTATGCACACCCACCTAATCTCACTGATTTCAGTGGGGATTGCTCCAAAGCAAGCATGCACAGAATCAGGCATTTCAGGGGGCATTTGAGAACAGAAGACGCCAGTTTTCCCATTGGCCTTCTCTGGCTTTAGTATTATTATTTTTTACTGCTGTATTGAAGATTTCATTTTAACCATCTAGCTATTTATGTTTCAATTGTTATTGTTTTGTGTCAGCTGCCAATCTGCTGCCCTACAGGTGTTTTGGACTACAACTCCCATCATACCCAATGGTGCTTCAGCTAAGATGTAATCCAAAACTACTGGAGGGCACCAGACTGGAGAAAGCTGTTCTACATAACTGTTAAGTTGTGGAGATTGTGGACTCTCCTTCCTTGGAGGTTTTTAAGCAGAGGCTGGCTGGCCATCTATCATGGATATTTTAGTTGAGATTACAGCATTGTAGGGTTGGACTAGATGACCCTTGATGTCCCTTCCAATTTTACAAGTCTATGATTCTAAGTTGCTTGTGAGTACTAATGAGTGGAAAGATGGTGCATATACATTTAAAATAAAGAGGTCCCATGTGCCTCAGAGTATGCAGTACAGTTGTACCTTGGAAGTCCGTTTGACTTCCAAAACATTTGGAATCCAAAGAGCGACTTCTGATTGGCTGCAGGAAGGTCCTGCAGCCAATCGGAAGCTGCGGAAGCCCCCTTGGATGTTCGGATTCCAAAGAACGTTCGCAAACCAGGTTTGCGACGTTCAAGAACCAAAACGTTCAAGTACCAAGGCATTCAGGATCCAAGGTACGACTGTACAATGTTTTACCCGCCTCCCAATCACCTACTAGCCAGTTTTAAAGGGGGAAATTGGAGCCTGCTATATACAAGCCTGGTGAGGAAGTTCAGCCCTGATTACAGACTAACATGGTTTTACATCCCATCGCATGGATTTGCAAGACCCAACATTTCTGATCCACAGTACAATGCGGAGGCAACAATTGTGACATTTATGGTGTCTGGCCTTGGGGTAGAATGCCTTGAGCCATAATTTGTGAACAAGAAAGTAGCCAACAATACTGCAGAGTGCAACTGCAAGTTCAAGCTATCGTAACAGTTTGCAAAAAGGCCCCTTCAAAAAGCAGGCAAACTTGCCCCTGCTGAAGGCACAAGGGATGCAACTGGAAAATATTACTAGGCAAAGATCTTAGATAGATGGTAGAATGGTAGAGGATAACAGCAGTTCCAGCAGAAAGCATTGCAGCAACACAAACCTTAATGTCCATATAGTTTTCAGGGCAGAATGTCTCAATTTCGGCATCAAAGAGGACAAGTGGATTGCAGCTATGCCTAAGTGTCAGCAAAATATACAGTCAAACAACAACAGACAAGAGCAGGCAGCAAGTCTAAAGAAACGCCTTCCACTTTCTAAACACATCTGCTGCGGTAAAGGTAACAACTTCCTACAGCTTCTATTCAAAATCTCAGCATGTAACTGCAGAAATATGAACTATCCTCAGAGATCCATTCATACATACCATTTTCGAAACGGAATCTTAAAGTCTTGAGCCAGCAAATGTCCAGAAACAGAAGTCATAACCACAGCTACATTCTGCAGAAGCCAGAGGAACAAGGATTATTCCCTGTCAGAGCCAAAGAAATGCTTAAAACCCTCCGCCCATAGTGGGCTTCTAAGATAAAGTCCTCTCAGCCTCATTGTAAAGAGATCAAGAAATGGGGTTCATGCACAAATGAATCCAGCTTCCTAAAGAAGAACCAGAGACACTTCCCAAATTCAAACACTTTCAGTTTGTGTGTGCATGTGTATACACACACACACACACACACACGATAAAACAAGCTTCACAATTACAAGGGGGAATTTATGAAAAATACTTCTATATTGGCTCAGTCACTTCCACAGAATGGAATGGCAGACTTCCTCAAACTTGGCCCTCCAGATGTTTTGAGACTACAATTCCCATCATCCCTGACCACTGGTCCTGCTAGCTAGGGATCATGGGAATTGTAGGCCAAAAACATCTGGAGGGCAAAGTTTGAGGAAGCCTGCTCTAGGGGGAGCTGGCTTCAGGTACTAGGCCTGTCGGCGGATCATCCCTGTGTTACAAAAATGTCTGCAAATGTGACGTGAAGGCTGGCAACGTCAACACCACCGTGTAGGAATCTCTTGCATGAGACGCTAGTGCCTGGAGACAGACCATCAGGTTGTGTATCCGAAGAAAGTGACCAGAGGAGGAATGACCACTGGGAGGAACACAGAGAGAAGAACCGCTGTGGTGCATCTGCACTGATTTGTGGGTTTGACCTCACTTACCTAAGTAAGCCCCAGTGAAATCAACAAGACAGGACTTACTGCTGAGTAGACATGCTTCAGATTGTGCAGCGAATCCGTGTAGTAACTACCACTATCTTTTGATGTGGATTAGAACCTGCCTCTCTTTCTCTCTCACACACAGTTTCATCAGATCAGTAGCAAAGCACAATGGTAAAGGATAGCTGGATACATACCTGGCCAAGCATATGGTACTGGCATTCGTAGATCTTGTTGAACCTGGAAAACCCTTCTCTCTAAAAAGGAAGAATTCCAGGACATAACAAATTAGATCAACATATAGCTAAGATATGTAATGTTTAAAATGAGGGTAATCCTGTATAAAATTATTTCCATCTGTAATTGTCAGGCACCGCTGAAGTCACGATAAGCATACATTCTGCTGTGTGTTCAATAACTGGGAAGACAGATATTTGGCATCTTTTGAGCATATCTACATGCAGCAAAATACATGTCTGCAGTTGTCACAGGTTGCATACTATGCTCAGGTTGGATATAGGTTTTTCCATATGGGAACACTGTCACACCGGAACCAGTCCTCAGCTGCCTCCACACACCTCTTCAGGTATTACAGTGTCTGAATAATCTCTATTTTTGACCAGCAGCACTGTACAGCCTTTCGGTTTCTGATTCTTTTTGAGGACCAATATTTCATCAGGAGTGCTGTGTTTTAGTGGTATAATGAGTTTTACTCCCCTCCAACCAAACCTCGGGGTGGGGAAGACAACATTCGAATAAATAAATATTGTATCACTATTGCGCGCTCCTACCCTCCTCATCCTGCTGTTGGAAAGGATGTCTGCAATCCCCCTGGCAGCATCATTTTTCTCTGCCACGCAGAGAACCTTCTGGATGTTTCGGACCATTGTGCCCTCAGCAGCCTGAGAGAAGCAAAGACTCCAGGACCGGAAGAGCAATCCAACTCCGCAGCGGGCAAACAGTCTGCTCTGACCAATCATCCTGAGAGCTGGGCCCAATTCCCAGCCTGCCAAGCCATGACGGAACCTTCTTCGCAAGGCTGCTTTGTCTGTTTATAAAGCCACCATGGGATCAGCACCAAAAGTTGGTTAATACGGGATTAGAACCCAGTTTCGGATACAGAGGAAGACAGCTCAATTGGCACAGGTGAACCGTGAAAGGTTGCAAAAACAGCTGGATGTTCTGATGTGCACAGGTTCCCATTTCTTACAAACGTGGACTTGTAAAGGGATGGAGTTCTTTGACAACCCAAGGCTGTTGGACTAGGAACTGGGGGGACCTTCTACACCGGAAGGCCTGCCAACGGGCTCCGCAGCAGGAACTCCCGTTTCAAGAGGAGACCATTCAAACCAGCACCAGACTGCGTTTCCCTCAGTGTCCAAGGCGGAGGAAATCCGTTTCGCAGCTTGCCCAAAGTCAAAGCACGATTCTGAACTTATCTGACCACTAGATCCTACTCCAAAGTGCAGACCACCAGGATTCAGGCATGTAAAACCCACTGGCTGCCTTTTAACTCCAGAGCCAGCACTGCCTCTCCCACCTCAAGGCCAAGCCCACCCCTCCATCCACTCAACAGCTGCTTGGCCTCAAACAACACCCCCCCCCCGCCCACGATGGTCCTTTCCCTACCTTTCTGCCCCCTCCTTTCTTTTCTTCCCAAATCCAGCTTTTTCGCTCTTTTTAATATTCCCTCCCCCAGCAGAAATAAATGCCAATCCTACGTTGTTGCTTTTTTAAAAGCCTCCCTCTCTCTTGAAACCTTTTCCTCCACTTTTTAATAACCTCCTATCAAAAGCTCGCTCCCACCCCCAATTTTAAACAAAACAAAACAAAAACGTCAAACTCCCCCTCCCCCCAAAGCTTTTCCTCGGGGGTCGCTTTTCTCTGCCTGTTTTGCCCCTCCTTCAATTCCTCCTCCCAGCCCTCCCTCGGGTGCTTCGCCCCCTTTTTCTTCCTCAGAGTCTCCCCCACTTTCTCTCTCTCTCCTCAGGCTTCCCTCACTCTTCCCTCCTTCACAGAAGAGGAGCTTTCCCGCCTGCCAGCCGTATTCCGCGCCGTCGTAAACGCACGACGCGAAAGAGAAGCGGGCCGGGTTCGTTTCCCTTTCTGTATTGCTTTACGGCTTCTCCGAAACAGCCGCGGGGGAATACGCAGCAGTAGCAGAAGTGGGAGGCGGTTGCGAGCGCTTGAGAACTACCACCCCCAGAATGCCCCGCGGTGGCTGCTGACGTAAACAACCGAGCTACCTAATTTTTTTGAACCGAACTTTTTTTTTTAACGCTGTTTTCAAGTAGTATTACATTCGCCAGTTCTGTGCTGCCTCTACTTTTGCTGTTTTTAAAAAGGGGGGACGAAAAGCAGTGAGGGGAAAGAGGGAACTGCAACACCCATGATGCACCGCGGTCGCGCGACCTCTTTCATAGTTTAAAATTTTTATATATCCGTGCCTTTGCAGCACGAACTAAACTACCCTGCTCCTCCTATTATTTTATTTTATTTTAAAGTCTAAGTTGTGTGTGAAGGGAAAACGATTTTTTAAAATAGAGGAATCGCTTCCGGGGTCACCCGGGTCGCTTCACAACAGGTCATGTGACTCCAAGATGGCTGCCAGGCGGCGGCTGTGAGGGGGAAGTGACGGTTCGTGCTGCAGGCGCGGGGCAAAGGGAGGGGGAGAGACGGGGCAGGGGGTGTGCGTGTGGAGGGTCGGGCTGGTCCTAGCGCCCACCTTTTTGGTAAGAGGGGAGAAGGGGGGGGGGAAGATCCGGAGAAGGGCCCATTTCCCAGGGAGGGAAAGTCGAGGGGTTGGGGAGAAAGAAAGGGGTCCCCTTCCTTCCCTAGGGAAGGAGGCGTAATAGATCCTGGGAGGGGAGCCTGGAAATCGAGGCAGCTAAACCAAGGGAGGGAGTTGGAGGGGTGGGGGATCTGCCCCCCCCATGAAAGGGCATGCCTCACAAGGCCCACTGGGTGAACAGGATTGGCGCCCTGTCCTTCATCTGAGGGGCAGGTGACCCCTAGTCAGAAAGGGAAGTGCCACAGACTCCGGAAAGTGCCCATCTCCGGCAGGGAAGTAAAAGGGAGAGTGCAATAGGTTTCCTTGGGTGTGCAGGAAGCGCCCCCACCCCCGACAGTCCGCCAGCGGAGCAAGCCCGGGAGAGGAGCCCTCATTCTCTGCCAATGGATTCCGGCTGACAACTGGTGAGGGATCGGCCCTGCTTTCTTCATGCCCCTTCACCGCCCCCACCTGGAAATATGATCAGCGCCCCAGATGTGGTGGCGTTTACCAAAGAGGACGAGTATGAAGAAGAGGCATACAGCGAGCCAGCCTTGCCTGAGGAATACTCTGTTCCGCTCTTCCCTTTTGCCAGCCATGGGGCCAACCCCTGGTCCAAGCTCTCAGGTGCCAAGTTCACCCGGGACTTCATCCTTATATCCGAGTTCTCGGAGCAAGTGGGACCCCAGCCTTTGCTCACCATCCCGGATGATGCCAAAGTTTCCGGCACCTTTGATCTCAACTATTTTTCCCTCCGCATCATGTCGGTGGACTACCAGGCTTCCTTTGTGGGGCACCCTCCTGGATGCCCTTACCCAAAGCTGAATTTCGTGGAGGATTCTAAAGTAGTGCTGGGCGATTCCAAGGAAGGAGCTTTTGCTTACGTGCATCACCTGACACTCTATGATCTCGAAGCGAGAGGCTTTGTCCGGCCTTTCTGCATGGCCTACATTTCTGCCGATGAGCACAAAATTATGCAGATGTTTCAGGAACTCTCTGCGGAGTTCTCCAAAGCATCAGAATGCTTAAAGACTGGCAACCGAAAAGCTTTTGCGAATGAACTGGAAAAGAAACTGAAAGACCTTGATTACACTAGAACTGTTTTGCACAATGAGACTGAAATCCAGAAGAAAAACAACGAGAAAGGATACTATACCACACAAGCCATTGAGAAAGCCAATGAACTGGCTAGTGTTGAAAAATCTATCATTGAGCATCAAGATCTTTTAAAACAAATCAGATCATATCCTTACAGTAAGCTGAAAGATTCTGATTTTCACCCTTATGAGCCAGAGTGTGTGACAGAGCAAGTTGATGATAGTTCCGAACAAGGATTTACTACCTCGAAATCTGATGAACCCAGTGAAACACACCTTTATCCTCGCCAGTCCTCTTACATCCCGAAACTTATCAAGGCAAAATCTGCCAAGTGCTTTGACAAGAAACTCAAAACCCTTCAGGAACTGTGTGATGTTTATTTTTTCACCCAGACTCTAGATCAGTTACATCAAATTGAGAAAACGTTCAGAGGTGACGTTTGCTACCTCTTGACCAATCAGATCAGCAGAGCACTTTTGCAGCAGCAAACTATTACCAACTTCCTTTTTGAAGACATGTTCCTTGTTGATGAACGACCATCTGAAAGGCATTTAAATGGCTACCAGGGACCTAACGTAGACAGCCCCAATCCCAAAGGTTTGGAAGTCTGCCTTATTCCTAAAACATTAGTCAGCTTGGGATCTTACAAATCCAGTGTTGAGTCTGTGCCTATAAAGATGGAACAGGAGATTGAAGACACGCAGGAAGCAGAAGTCACTGACCCTGTTACTTATGACCAGCACGACAATCTTGAGTACCTCGATGCAGATCTTAAAGGAAGCGTTAGTAGTGGTGAAAGCATTGAGGTTTTGGGGACAGAAAAGTCTGCTACTGCCCTGAATCAATCTGAAACCCAGGCAAGCATGCCGCAAGCCCGCCTGAGTCCACAAGTGGTGAGGAGCAAAGCTGTCAGCCGAAGGACCATAAGTGAGGACAGCATCGAGGTCCTCAGTACGTGTCCCTCAGAAGCTCTGATTCCTGATGACTTTAAAGCGAGCTACCCAAGTGCCATTAATGAAGAGCCTTATGCAGATGAAGATGATGAAGGTTTTCGCTTTAGCCCTGTTTTAAATCCAGACAACACTGAAGGCAACCCTGAACCAGAAAACCTGCTCCCTGTGGACTCTGCCTGTTGCATTGGAAAAGAGAGTCCAAATTTTCTCGAGCCTCCGTCCAACATGGTCCCCAAACATTGCGATGGTGACAGTGTGGTCAGTATCCCGCCCCAGCCATACCGGCAAGGGGACCAGGGGTTTCACGTGAATTTCACGGACTATTCTTCCCACGATGGCGTCTTGGGAGGCCTCCTCACCTACGAACTCGACCCACATTATCTCTCGAGCAGCAGAGAGACGAGTAAAATGAGCCTGGACAAATGCTCAGACTCCACAAGCTACATCAGCAGCACAGCCTCCACCAGCTCAGACAGGACTCCTTCCCCTGCCCTTCCTGCTGGTCATTTCGGAGAAAGGCACAAGAAGAAGTCGGGGCAAAATGCACTGAGGTTCATCCGGCAGTATCCCTTTGCTCACCCTGCAATATATTCGCTACTGAGCGGCAGGACTTTGATAGTGCTGGGGGAAGACAAGACGATTGTGGAGAAGCTCGTCACCGCACTCTCTATTTTTGTTCCAAATTGCGGTGCGTATGCCAAGCCGGTGAAGCACTGGGCCACATCTCCTTTGCACATCACAGATTTTCAGAAGTGGAAGCTGATTGGATTGCAGAGGTAAAAAAAAACCCCACCACCATAACCTACCCAGATCTTTAAAATGTCTGACCACAGGCCTATCTAGTCCAGCATTTTGGACTGTATACAGTGGGTTGCATCCAGCTAACTTTTGCTCAGAGTAGACCCATTGAATTTAATAAGATCTAAGCCTTCCCATTAATTTCAATAGGTCTAGCGTGAGTAGGACTGACATTGGATGTAACCCGTTGTTAGTCCTACTCAGAGAAGGCCCACTGAAATTGACGAACAAGGCTAACGCAGTTCCATTAATTTCAATGGGTCTAACTTTTGAGCAAAAGTTTGATACAGTCCTAAGTTCCCATTGTGGCTATCCAGATGCCTCTGGAAAGCCCATGTTCTCCAGCAGCTGGTACTCAGAGTCATACTGTCTCTGATAGTGTAAGTAATAACAGAATAATAATAATAATTTATTATTTATACCCTGCCCATCCAGCCACTCTGGGCGGCTCCCAACAGAATATTCAAAACACGATAAAATCAAACATTAAAAACTTCCCTAAACAAGGCTGCCTTCAGATGTCCTCTAAGAGTCAGACAGTTGTTTATTTCCCTGACATCTGATGGGAGGGCATTCCACAGGGCAGGCGCCACTACTGAGAAGGCCTTCTGTCTGGTTCCCTGTAACCTCACTTCTCGCAATGAGGGAACCGCCAGAAGGCCCTCAGAACTAGTCCGGGCTGAACAATGGGGGTAGAGATGCTCCTTCAGGTATACTGGGCTGAGGCCGTTTAGGGCTTTAAAGGTCAGCACCAACACTTTGAATTGTGTTTGGAAACGTACCGGGGAGCCAATGTGGGTCTTTTCAGGACCGGTGTCATATGGTCTTGGCGGCCACTCCCAGTCACCAGTCTAGCTGCCGCATTCTGGATTAGTTGCAGTTTCTGGCCATTGTGGTCCTGCCAAATACAGAACCCTCACAACTCGGTCCCTGGCAGTACAGTTAAATGACAATTGATTCCCATTGACAAAAAGAGGGGCGCAGCGGTCAGAAATGTGCCCCGTTCAGTCACCATTTGTTCTGCCATGGTGGAGTTTGGCGGTGATCATTTTCATGTCAGAGGCTTCCATACTTAATCAGAAACCTCCCCTGCCCCTTCCAAAGGTTAGCTACGAAAGCACCATTTAGCAGGAAACATGACCTGCCTGTTGCTTTCCTTTGGTAGCGCAGCAGGGGTGTGCAATTGCCAGGGGGACGTTGGTGCAGGAATGATATTTCCTGCTCTGGGTCCCAGAGGGAGATGTGGCTGAACTGAGACCTCCTGGCTCCCAATCTCTGCCACTTCACTTCATGATCTCTCAGAGACAGAATGCCTGCATACCTGTAGTTATTCTACCTTGGAGTTTCAATGTCAGCATGTTATCTCCCCCCTTCCTTTCCAGAGCATCTTCTCCGTCGGGTGTCAACATGATGCACTCCCTCTGCCGCTACAGCCGCTACATCAGTATCCTGGATGCCGACAGCAAGACTCTCCGCTGCCCGCAGTACAAAGGGACCC